CTGGTCCTACGTGGTGGTGGTGGTGGCTCTGCCTGCACACTTGGAAAATATTTGAAGGACTGGTTCCTAGTGTAAATTATTTTGTATGTTTCTTGCGCTCTAACGAATACAGATTTTTAAAATGTATTCGGTCCCAATAATTTAGATATTTTGTTGAGTGGATTGAAGCAGTAAAATTTTTTTTGTACACTCTTCAGGTCAGCATTTTCTCCAGCTCTGAATGGTACTATAAGGTTGCAACAATATTCCAGCCTAGAGATCACTAGTTTCTTATAGTATCTTAACAAGTAGGCTTTAAGTATAACAAGGATGTGTGTTTGGTAAGGTTCTTGTTATCCAACCTGTCATATTTCTTGCAGTTGTGACCTGTATTTTATTGTGTTCTTTAAAAGTAAAGTCTTCCGACGTGACAACTCCAAGATCTTTTTACTTTAATTTTACTCTACTTTCTCTAACTGTTGCAGTTTGGCTGCGTTTTATGTGGTTTCGGTATTTTCGTCTTACCATAATGCAGTAACTGGAACTTATCATTAAACACGTTTTACGTGGCCCATTGAACGATGTGATTAACCTCAGACTGGAGGTTTATATTGTCCTCTATATTGTCTGCTCGCATGACAAAGGTAGCGTCATCTGCAAGGGATGATATGGTACTGTAGCTTGTGTCATTGTCTCTGATACAAGCACGCTATATACTCTTGAGTACTCTTGTCTCCTCTGGACGTGCATCTATGGTCTCGTGTTCTCCAAGTCTCGTTGGTGTGGGGCTCTGAGGTGAACAGGACAACACCGTCGACCAATTGATGAGGTAATCCCATAAGAAAGAGAGAATGAGAGAATGAGAATTTGTAGGCAATAGCTTGTGGCGTTTTGATTATAACTTGTGATTACCACTAAACAATAGCGGCTACAAGTGTTCTCGTTCCAACACGCCCTCTGCCATCCCCTGCTGCTCTGCCATCCACCAGAGGCTTCTTGATCAAAACATGCGCGAAAATGTCTTAGAGTTCTTAACTGTGTATCTGGACAACAAATGTTTCTCTTAAATTTTGATGCTGTGGCCCATGATGGCCCAGGGTGGCCCAAGGTGGCCCAGGCTGGCCTCCACACAGTCCGTGGACTGGTACTCTACCCACTGATAATGACTTGCTCGGCCATCACCTGTTTGATGGCACAAACTTGTCCATCTGTCAAGAACCAATGGATGGAGGTTGACGGCGGTGATTGCTAATGCTAGTGGCTCAGATGTTGTAAGTTATCAGTGGTAGAGGTGTCAATCAGCATCAACTGACAGTACTTGGATTGTCGGACAGATGAGAGCCATTGCTTTACACTAAGTGGAATCCGTTCCAGCTTGGCTTTGAACTGGTATTAGTTCCGCTAAAAGAAATTAAGACATACGTACATGTTCTCCGTCAACCATCTGAAGTACTGGTATTGCCACTGAAGAATGCAAGTGTGAAAGAGGACATTAGTCCACAGACTGCGAGAGTGAAAGGCACACGTGACCTCGTCTCCTGGTAACCTCCAAGGCAGTTTGCGTTAGCGTCTTATGCGTCTCCATTTGCCGCCTCACAGACATGATTGGTTTGGCATCTACATTAAGTCCTACCTGTGATTGAGAGCCAGGATTGGTGACTGGTGGTTGTTAATCCTTGTCCAGCTCTATCAGATCACATGCCACTGACGTCTACGATGCCTTCTTCAGTGTCTTAGAGGGTTTTCCAGAGTCTTCAGTGACTATGTTGCTTTCATATTCGAATTGCTAACCAATTTCTTCGTTTTTCTGGTTTGTTCATCGTTGTCTCTCCTGTGCTGGCCGTTCATGTATATTATTATCATGTGTGGTGGGGGGCGGTGTGGGTGTGTCCGTCGTCGCCTGCGTCAGTATTGGTGTGCGTTGGTTGTCGCTGTAGTAATGACGACGGATGCGACGGGACTGGGACTGGCAGGAGTGGCGGCCCAGATAATATCTGACGGTCCCCGCCGTATACAGTCCGGACCACTTGTGAAGTAGAGAGGGATCCATCTCTTGTGTGATCGACTGCTCTCAAACCCCGACCCGTTTTCCTGAGCCCTCCAAGTTGGCGGCGTTCCTCTCGACGGTTTCATTTTTCCACACTTCCACAAGCCAGAACCGCCACCTCCACCAGCCAGAACCAGGTGGTTCAGGAACCAGCTGGCTGCAGGTTCTGCACCTGTAGCCAGCTTGCACACTGGCTGCAGGTGCAAAGAACAATCGGATAATCTTTCGAGCTCAGAGACGGGTCTCCCTGCCGGCCATGTAGGCGTCTCCCTGCCGGCCATGTAGGCGTCTCCCTACCGGCCCGTTGGGTTTTTCTTCTTCAGAACAGGAAATAGGGAAGGGTACTCCCCTCCCTTTTCATGGTAAATAATCGCATTAAGTGTTCAACGAGCCATTGGTAGACGGAGGCCACAACGAATTCCTGCGGCCATTCTCCAGGAGAAGAGAGTGGACAGGGAGAACTGGACGAGTGGAAGACATGGTCGTGGGACGTCCTGTCTATGGTCCCGGAGGACAGGAATGCGGGACTCCTCGTCCCTCTTGAGGCAGGCAAAGATGTGCTGTACTCTTACGAAGAGCAGAGGAAGCCGTCCTCTCCTCATCATGAGGAGAAAACATGGGCTTACCATGTATGTGTTTTATGAAGACATAATGAGATCTCCGTTACTTCTTGTCTCGTAAAAGAGTTACTGCTTCTTTAATAGAAGTGGCGTAAATTCCAGCACGTGTCTCCTCTTTAATAACAGAAATACTCCCACTTCTTAGATGAGGGCATGAACTGCTGCCCACAGTTGTGACTGCGACCCTCCCTCTCACACCTCTCGTAGGGCGTCTCCCAGTAGAGCACTGGTGGTGGTGGTGAGGCCCAGCCTGCCCCGCCACCTCCTCCAGTATTGCTGAGAGAGAGAGAGAATGACAAATAGACACAGACACAGACAGACAGACAGACACAGACACAGACAGAGAGAGGGGGGGGGCTGACTGATCAAAGTATCACCAGACAAGCTAGGTCCCAGGCCAAGCTTGGGGAGTAGATGAACTCTCGAAATAGTAAAACTATAGTTAGACTACAGGTAAATACATACACTCACACCCCACTTTATACACGCACATCACACATACCTCGAACACTGTTTATGTAGGACGGACGTAAATGTATGTATTTATGTTATTGGTTAGATCAACATTGTATAATCACTACAATCATCTTCTGTGGTTGATTGTTCAATAAATCACTGAACTATATGTTTAACAAATCCCTAACCCTGTCCTTGGAGGACAGAAGAAAATGTATGCATATTATATATATATATATATATATATATATATATATATATATATATATATATATATATATATATATATATATATATATATAATATGCTGGTTAGCATTGTAAATGTGTGGCCACGTCTGTGGTAGGAAGGGAAAAAAACAGACCTGGTTTGGTCAATCTGGGATGTCTGGCTGCCACAGTGGCCCAGACAGCTGTCCTGACCCCTCAGCTGTCAAGCTGTCCTGAGCCTAGCAGGGCTGTGTAACCTAGCAAATGGACTTGCCATCCTCAGCAGAGAGAACAGATAGTAGTCCCCAGTAGACTTTGTATCAGTGTGCCATCTCCTCGCACCTCCATGTTCTTCCTGCCTGTCTGACCACCGTCCTGTAGTGTGTCTCTTTGATGGCTCTCTCTCTCTGGACCCTCACACCCACCTCCACATGTGAGTGGCAGGTGTGTGGGCTTGTGGTCAGTGGCAGGTGTGGGCTTGTGGTCAGTGGCACGTGTGTGGGCTTGTGGTCAGTGGCAGGTGTGTAGCATTTACTGTTATAATCCAAAATTCCATCTTTACATCACAATTTCATTGAGTCGTACTCGCTCAATGCAGTATAAAGGACTGCTAAAGAATAATGAAATTAGAATACATCATTTTCATAATTATTGTTACCAGCTCATATCTATAATGTAATATTTTGCGTCAAATAGGATTGGACTAGGCTCTCCCACTACACATGACGTCACAGAGATACTCTGACAATCACCTCTAAAATACTAGACAAACACAGCGACAACAGAAGACTGGCCATTGACGAGGCCTCAACAAAGCAAGCCAAACTATCAACAGCCAACTCCCACCAAATTCCACCGTGCCCCTCACCGAAAACACGATGAAACATACAATATACTGCCTGTTGATTGATGAAGATTAATAAGTCACCCAAGAAGGTGGCACGGGCATGAATAGCCCGTAAAATATATTGCCTCAACCATCAGGGAAATATAGGTGATTGGTAAGTTTTAGTGGGTTCATAAGTGAGGGGCTTCATCTTCACCTCATCCCCGGCTACATGCAGAAGGTAACATTACGGGCTATTCATGCCCGTGCCACCTCTTGGGTGGCTTAATATCTATCAATCAGCTGAAGGTAACACTAGGAGAGTTATCGAATAAGGAAGGCATCATAACATGGTTTCTACGCGTCTAGGCAGTACACAAGCCTCTCTGTAGTAATTGGTCGCCTTCACACATTTATGGGTACAATATCTTTGAAGTCTAAAATCATCGATATATTTTTCCTGCATATCACACCTGGACCCTAAGACTATGAAGGGACATTGGATGGAAGGTTGATCCCTCAACCTTCCAAGGGAGAGGATAGGGAATAAGATTATCTGCTGCCATGGTAACATGGAGCGCTTATCCCAAGGGAAGGAATATTGCCGGAACAACCGTGGACATCTTAAAGAGAAAACTAGATAGTTTTCTTGAAGGCGTGCCGGACCAACCGAGCTGTGGTGGGTATGTGGGCCTCGGGCCGGGCTTGGGGACTAGAACAACTCCCAAAGCCCCTTCAAGCAGGTAAGTGAAGCCGCCAGTGTCTTGTGGGGGGAGTTACCAGTACTGGGAAGTTGGTGATGCTGGTGATGTTGTGATCTTCGTGGTTCATCTCTTGACAGTGTTTGTGTCTTCTCCCCTCAGGCGGCTCGACAACAACCGCTTGCAGCATCTTCCTGACAACCTCTTCACCAACTGCCCCGGCCTCTACAAACTGTGAGTACTGCACTTTTATCTTGTTTTGCTGCCATGTTAACTTGTCCGTGTGTCAGTCTGTAGTGCTGGTGGTCACAGAGGTGAAGTGATGACCAAACCACAACTCACAAGATGGAGAAGCGACGACCTTTCGCTCCGTCCTGGACCATTATGAAGTTGTGTGAAAACACGACTTCATAAACATTAGGAAAACATATATGATTCAAGCCGCAAAATAGACGTAACTACCAGAACACCGTAACTGTAAACCTCGCCGAGTAGTGGTAGCGACCTCTTGTATACGACCTGCCAACTGTGGGCAGTTGACAAGTACAAACAGGCCTTCAGTTAAATATAACACTTTGAGGTTCACCAGCTTGGAAGAACACAATCCTACATGACCGAGTAATAATCTTCCTACGAAACATTCCCCAATGTTTGATATTCTATTTGAGTACTCTGCACTCAGTACCTATAGTGCAAGGTACTGGCAGAGGCGGCAACGCTCCCTTCAACCCCGCAGGTGTTTAACTCTCACTGCTCCCTTCAACCCCGCAGGTGTTCTAGGGAGTAGTAGGGAGTAATTCTCACTGCTCTCTTGAACCCCGCAGGTGTTCTAGGGAGTAGTAGGGAGTAATTCTCACTGCTCCCCTCGGAAACCATCATCCAACCCCACAACAGTCACATTCCTCCACATTCTTAATTGTTCAATATTCCTTCTGGCATCATATGAATAACATTTACGTAAACAAAAATGATCTGGAAACTGGTCAATACAACCAGCTGTACACTACATTCCAGTCTCTTGACGCACTTATTCCCTCTGAACTTATTGACCAAGGCTTGGTCAGTATATGAACAATATTCGGTCTAAACATTGACCTTGCTTTACATAATCTTTGTCACATTAATCAGTACATTCTCGTATGCATGTTATCAATAAGGATTAAACAAGAGGTGTAACATTTTCACATGCATATTAAACAATACAGTAGCTGCCTCATAATACATAATACTTGCATTTCGTTATTTACTGTAACCGACATTTGCATATTCACAATGCTAAATGTACTGATTTTATTACTCTCAATAGTTGGCTGGTATGCAAATTCAGGTGTTCAAATCAAGCTAGGGTGTTCCAAGTTATGGCTAGCCTAGTCCTTAGCAGGTTATCTTGAAGTTATCTTGAGTATCAGGTATCTAAATTATTCTTCAACTTTAGGGTCTAACAAGGGCAAGTTATTTAGATTATGTAGTTCAGTTCCAAATTAGGTTGTATATCAAAGAATGGTTACTCTCCTAGCTATAAAAAAGTTGTATTAACATCTCCGTGACTTCTCTGTCTCAACTTCCCATACATGTCCCGTTGTACTACACTGTCTTGTACTACACTGGTCAACTTTATTAACATCAATTTCCCTGGGAATTTTGTATGTCGTGATAATGTCTCTTCGATTATGTGTTAAGTGTGATGAGGTGGAACTCCCTCAGCCAAGACGGCCCTCATTTCTGTCGTAGTGTTTTTATCGTAACGTGATAGTTACTGTGGCACAGGTGGCCACAGGTGACCACAGGTGGCCACAGGTGACCACAGGTGGCCACAGGTGGCCACAGGTGACCACAGGTGGCCACAGGTGACCACAGGTGGCCACAGGTGGCCACAGGTGGCCACAGGTGGCCACAGGTGGCCACAGGTGACCACAGGTGACCTATCACACCTTAGCAAGCTTAGAGGTTTTATTTGCTACCATTTCCTACAATTATTTCCTACCTTCAGCCTTTACTAAGCTAGTTTCCCCGTTACACGATTCGCCTGTCTGTTTACAACCAGCTCGCCGGCTTCTGAGCAGGGCTCGAACCCGGCCCAGATTACTGGCGAGGCGTGGTGTGCCCGTTCAACCACAGGGACGGGCTCTGAAAGATTATTAATGCTGCTATGTTAGTTTGGTGTATGCTGCTGATGCCAGGATGGGTGTGTCTCCGGTGCTAAGTCAGGGGGCATGGTGACCACCTGATCCTTCTTTACTGTGTCAAGAAATGTTCTCTCCTTTATGAACATGAGAACAGCATGTTCTCATGCTGTTCATTGGATCGTTTTCCTTTTACCGCAGTATTCATTATCTTGCATTTGTTAAGGTTGACGTCAAGTAGCCGTCAATCCAGCCGTCGCTGAAGCTTATGCATAAAGTCGAGCATATTTTTGTATACAAAAATCATGTATACTGATAGTTTTGTAGAAATATTCATCGTCTGCAGACAGTGATGTGAGTGCATCACCTGCCTTATTCAGGCGTTTGGCGCAGGTCATGACCAGTGCAGGTCGTGGTGCTGACCTCTCTGGTGCTCCACTTGCTTGTGTGAGGGGTCAGGGGGTGAGGGAGGCGGAGGAAGTGTGAGGGAGAGAGGGAGGGAGTGTGTAGGGAGGGGGGTCGACTGTGTGATGGAGGAGACGGTGGGTGTTATGACTGATGGCTAAGAGGAGAGACAGTCGTCGTGGGCGGCCACAGCGAGACATCAGGCCTCCTCGCACGCCCACACCCCCACCACCCCCCAATACCCCCCATTATTTGGTTCCCACATACCCAGATATGGATACCCCCGGTTTAGAACTTTTCCCCTTAACCTTCCCCGTGTTCCTGCCCTGTTGAGAGTGTCCCGACACTGTGTGTGTGTACTTTGTCTTCATGTTCCCCCGCCCTCACTCGGGGCTTCTCAGCCCCAAAAGCCCACTTGCCGATGATTCATAGATTTTTACGATGCTATCAAGCCTTTTATATCCCTTCGCATCGCCCTTGATAGTCCGGGTCGAATGTTGTCAGGAGGGTTACGGCCGATTGGCAGAGGCCAGCAGGAAACTGTGGGAGTCTGATGGCCTCTTGGGAGACGGGCAGAGTCTGATGGTCTCTTGGGAGACGGGGCAGCGTCTGATGGTCTCTTGGGAGACGGGCAGAGTCTGATGGTCTCTTGGGAGACGGGCAGAGTCTGATGGCCTCTTGGGAGACAGGCAGAGTCTGATGGCCTCTTGGGAGACGGGGACAGAGTCTGATGGTCTCTTGGGAGACGGGTAGAGGGTGGAGAGGGGCCACCACACGCCGCCCACAACAGTCTAGTGGGGCAACCCGTTCTCGCAAATTTAATAAGTCAATATTGACTTATTAAATATGTGCATAGGTGACATACTTAACATAATAGATACCCTTAAAAAGATTCATAGAAAACACCGACCTTACCTAACCTTGTTAGTATCTTAAGATAAGCATCTTATTGCTTCGTAATTACAATTATTACCTAACCTATAATAGGTATAGGTTAAGTAATAATTGTAATTACGAAGCAATAAGATGCTTATCTTAAGATACTAACAAGGTTAGGTAAGGTCGGTGTTTTCTATGAATCTTTTTAGGGGTATCTATTATGTTAAGTATGTCACCTATGCACGTAGTTAATAAGTCAATATTGACTTTACGAATTTGCGAGAACGGGTTGCGTGGACAGCACCCGGGTCTTGTGTGGGAAGTGGCCGCCTAGAATTCTTCCAACCACATGGGGGGGGGGGAATCTCCCACTTAAAAACTAGAAAATATTTAATTATACATACGCCTTAACCGAGGAAATACATGGTTTGATTGGCGTCAGCTGAGGCGGTGACGGAAGTGACGTCACAATCCTATTGAGGGCCATCTTGTGTTGCATGGGTGCCACCTCCCACACCACGGGTATGGGGTGCATAATAACCTAATGGATCCAACTTGCTGAGGAGATCAAAGCACAAATTATAAACAGGTTCAGAAATTAATTAGCGAGTTTGGTGCGACAGCCTCAGCGCGCGCGCGCGTGGGGGCGCTGCGCTCCTGTCATTTCCCGCCACTTTGGGGGCGTCTAGTTATGCTAATGTGGAGACGTGACGCGTTGTGTTCCGGTGTGGAGTGTGGCTGGTGGGCGGGGTGGTGGGGTGGCGGGTGGGCGGGGTGGTGGGGGTGGGCGGGTTGTGGTTGGTAGGCGGGCTGGTGGGCGGGGTGTGGCTGGTGGGCGGGGTGGTGGGCGGGGTGTGGCTGGTGGGCGGGGTGGTGGGGTGCCAGGAGGCGGACGGCCGCCACAATACTTCACGATAACGTCACCACCATCTGTCATTAGTGGAACTGCGGCAACCGCGGTGAAATGTGTGGTTCTTAGCCTCGTAAGATACAGCCAGCATCTTGCTCTTGGCCTCGTAAGATACAGCCAGCATCTTGCTCTTGGCCTCGTAAGACGCAGCCAGCATCTTGCTCTTGGCCTCGTAAGACGCAGCCAGCATCTTGCTCTTGGCCTCGTAAGATGCAGCCAGCATCTTGCTCTTAGCCTCGTAAGATGCAGGCAGCATCTTGCTCTTAGCCTCGTAAGATGCAGCCAGCTTCTTGCTCTTAGCCTCGTAAGATGCAGCCAGCATCTTGCTCTTAGCCTCGTACGATGCAGCCAGCATCTTGCTCTTGGCCTCGTAAGATGCAGCCAGCATCTTGCTCTTGGCCTCGTAAGATGCAGCCAGCATCTTGCTCTTGGCCTCGTAAGATGCAGCCAGCATCTTGCTCTTGGCCTCGTAAGATGCAGCCAGCATCTTGCTCTTGGCCTCGTAAGATGCAGCCAGCATCTTGCTCTTGGCCTCGTAAGATGCAGCCAGCATCTTGCTCTTGGCCTCGTAAGATGCAGCCAGCATCTTGCTCTTGGCCTCGTAAGATGCAGCCAGCATCTCTCTCTCCTGGGAATCGTACCCGGGTTTTGAGCGAGTGTACGAGGGCCAATTTAGAGCGTGTGCGATACGGGATCATCGACTCAGACGGAGCTGCATGTCTTGGAGGGATGACAGGGACAAAGCACACCTTGTTGCGGCCAGGAACCACACATAAAACCATTATATTTGGTTAACTTGGTGTTGGGAATCGTTGGTTGTGTTGTGGCTTTGGTTGGACGTGTGTGGGAGCAGAGGTGTGTGGCAGAGACTGAGTAGGGTGTGGGTGGGAGGCAGGATTGGAGGCAGGAGGGAGGCA